TTTGGTAAATAATTCGAACTTGGACAGACCTACCTCCGCCGACGCAGAACCTCTCCCCTCTCTCTCCACCGAACCCCCCTTTTTCTCTCTCTGTATGTGTGTTCTATCGTTAACCGCCCACCATAACAGCCACCATCAAACTCATATCACCGCAACTGTCCATCAAACTCACCACCATAACAGTCACCATCAAACCCATATCACCAACCGCCCAAACCCATCACCTGCACAAAAAATCACAATCAAAATATCACCATGGAAAACCTCAATCTGTGTGCATTCCATGGCGATGAGGGAAGGACGATGGCGGCTAAAGACAATTTGAGGCTAAAGCGAANTTTCAAGCAGCGTATTTGGCCACTCAACCGGCTCACTCAGAGTTCACCAGGGGAGAGATCTGTTTCCAATACTTCATATATCGTGCAGGATCTTGCCCGCACACCATCAAACCCATATCACCAACCGCCCAAACCCATCACCTGCACAAAAAAATCACAATCAAAATATCACCATGGAAAACCTCAATCTGTGTGCATTCCATGNAGCCACCATCAAACTCATATCACCGCAACTGTCCATCAAACTCACCACCATAACAGTCACCATCTGTAAGGGGTAGAACCCTCCACTCAGGATTTCGGCTTGACCTGGGTTAACTCACGCGGGCGACCCCCCAGTAGCCTTTACCTCTCTTCGCCAATAGGACCCTTTCCTAAGGCAATCCCACATCGGAAGAGAGTCGTCTTCCCCCCTCGCATATAAGCCCTTGCANCAAACCCATATCACCAACCGCCCAAACCCATCACCTGCACAAAAAATCACAATCAAAATATCACCATGGAAAACCTCAATCTGTGTGCATTCCATGGCGATGAGGGAAGGACGATGGCGGCTAAAGACAATTTGAGGCTAAAGCGAAAAATATTAAATGAGGGTTTTTCTTATTTTTAGTATTATAGGGAGCGGTTTTAACTTTTATTTTTATTTTTTACCACCACCACGAGAGAGTGTGCTAGTTGGGCCGGCCTGGGAAGGAAGAACCCTGCCAAAATGCATCACCATCGTCGCCTGCCCAACATCCTCTTCCTTACAGCTTGGTCTCTGCCTCTGACCCGCTACATCTCCGCCGCTGCATCTCCATTGCCGCGTGTCATCTGCCCATTCCTCTGTTCTCAACGAGCCAACCACCTACTCTATCAAATTGGTTAGGTCCGAAATAAGACCCAACCCCACTGCTGTGTGCGTCCCCGGGTGTGGCTCGTCTGCTGTTGACAAGCAAACCGCACCCAGTGAGGTTAAATAGGACGCCATCGTTTCGTCCACTAAAATGAAACGACACAGTTTTGGTTAGGTAAGGTAGCGAGTAAACTATTGTCCCTACCCCCACTGAAATGAAACGACACTCTTTAGCTCTCTCTCTCTCTCTCTCGTAGATTCACTAGTAATTTATCTCAATAAATACCACCACAATGAAGACCCACGAATTCGTTCTCTCTATCTGTGCTTCTACAAGCTATCTCTCTCTTTGAATTTGGGTAAGCACAATGAATAGCTATGCTCTTTGAAAGTCAAAAAAATCATAAGAACTCTTTGAAAATCTAAAGTTAAGAATAGAAAATTGATTGTAGAAGCCAAAACGTTGGAAAAAGAAATGGATTGGACTGGTTAAAAGAGAAAGGGTTAATTTCAACTTGTATCCTCAAAGATCACTTGAATTTTAATTTGCACTCCCAAAATTTGAAAATTAATATTTTACACCTTAAAAGACATAAATTGATATCAACGTGCACTTGAGACTAACTGTTATCCATTTTACCGTTAAAAAAGTTTGGACTAATTATAAATTGTACCTTTAAAGTTTAAATATTTAATATTTATGATCCAAAAAGAATTTCTTCCAGTAATGTTCGTTAAATAGCTCTTAATTGTATCGTGTCATAATATTTTCTTATCATGTTCGAGTCANTAAATTTTAATTTGCACTCCCAAAATTTGAAAATTAATATTTTACTTAAAAGACATAAATTGATATCAACGTGCACTTGAGACTAACTGTTATCCATTTTATCGTTAAAAAAGTTTGGACTAATTATAAATTGTACCTTTAAAGTTTAAATATTTAATATTTATGATCCAAAAAGAATTTCTTTCAGTAATGTTTGTTAAATAGCTCTTAATTGTATCGTGTCATAATATTTTCTTATCATGTTCGAGTCAATAAAAAAATATTTTTAAAATTTTAAAAAAGTTATAAAATACCTATTTTTTGCTTATAATACTTATTAAATAGCTGTCTACAATTATACACGATTTTTTTTATTGTTTGATCAAATTAAAGTTAGATATGAAAAACATAACCGTAGACAAAAAATAGCTATTTATAATGAGTATTATAGTTAAAAAATAGTTATTTTATATTTTTTAAAAAATATTATATAAAANTGTAAAATACCCATTTTTTGCTTATAATACTTATTAAATAGCTGTCTACAATTAGACACGACTTTTTTTATTGTTTGATCAAATTAAAGTTAGATATGAAAAACATAACCGTAGACAAAAAATAGCTATTTATAATGAGTATTATAGTTAAAAAATAGTTATTTTATATTTTTTAAAAAATATTATATAAAATGTCATAAATACGAAATATACGACATAACACAATTAACTCGATACAAAAATATTTTGTGTTAATTTTTTTTTTATTGAGTCGAACACAATACTAAAATAATACGACATAACACAAAATAACACAACATGACACAATTGAGAGGTATTTAANTTTTTTTTTTATTGAGTCGAACACAATACGAAAATAATACGACATAACACAAAATAACACAACATGACACAATTGAGAGGTATTTAATGAGTATTAATGGATATAATTTTATTTTAATCATAAATGTGAAATATTTAAACTTTGAAGACATACTTTGTAATTTTTCCAAACTTTTTAACAGCAAAATGGAATTCGGCAACTAACCCCGGTACACATTGATATAAATTTATGTCTTTTAATGTATAAATTGATATTTTTAAACTTTGAAGGTATATATTAAGATTTAAATAACTTTTCAGGTGCAAGTTGAGATTAGCCTAAAAGAAATATTCAACCAAAGTCAAAATTTCTGAAAAAAAAACAGCAAACCAATCAGACAAGCATAGAAATAACCAAGGGGAATCTGTTTGTCCAACCGTTTCTCTTCACTTATCTCTCCCTCGCTTCAACACCAAGAACTACTTTGCAAAGAATTAGAGCAAATGCCCAAAAACTTATACAATCTGTGCAAATTTTCAGCAACAGAGAAGCAACCATGCAGATTACTCCATAGTATATTAGCAAATTGATTGACCGCAGAGGAGTTTCATCCTGGCCATAAGCAACTAGCAGCAGAGAAGCTCCAAGTCTGCACAAGGCTGCCAATATCTGGTTTTTTACACAATTTGTGTAATGGGTTTCTTGCATAGAGAGCAAATATTGCTTGCACAATCTCTTGTGTAAAATTGGCTTGCCAGCATCCAAACGACACCGCTCCATGATAAACTCTTCCAACGACGCCGTTAGCAATCCTTCACAGTAATAAACTATTCGAAAGCCTCTCGGCCTGTTTCTCACCATAAACAAATGTTTTAGTTTTACCCAACCCTCCTCTCGCTCCCAAAACAGCCCGTTGTTGTGCTCAAATCTGTGCAACTTAGAGTCAATAATCCATAAAACTCGAACATGGGGTATCAAAATCTATTTGCATCAGCCAAATTTGGGACAAAACGGAATGGATAGAGAATGTGACTTATTGTAATAAAAAATTATTGCCCTATACTTTTAAAAATTTTAGAGTTTGAGTTTGAAATTGAACAATCAAACGTGGGTCGTGATATTTTTAAAAAAAAAAAATNAAACTTTTAAAAATTTTAGAGTTTGAGTTTGAAATTGAACAATCAAACGTGGGTCTTGATATTTTAAAAAAAAAAAAATTTGAACAGAAGTTGACCACTGCCGGCATCGAAATTGGCAGTTGGTGGAATTCATACCTATTTGTGGAGAGAGAAAGAGAGAGAGAAGGGCAGAGTTTTTCAGTTGGTGGAATGGGCAATTGGGACTTCGGTGGGTTGGGCAGGCGGTGGGAGGTAGGCTTCAAGGGGAGGTGGTGGGGTTTATAATAGGGGTTTGTAAAGTGGTGGAGGTTGCTGCGAACTAAAAAATTTTGGGTTTTGCAGATATTTAGTGATTTAATGATGGATAATTCAGAGGTAATTTAGGGATTTTGTTACAAGAATATGCTGAAATCATTGAGATTTAACGGTCCGTTTAACACCAGCGGCTATATGTTACATCATACCAAACTTCAGGGGGTGGCGATGTTATATTCTATACTTGAGGGGGTCCGTCTGTATTAGTGAAATACCTCCGGGTCTTGATATAATTTNGTCCGTTTAACACCAGCGGTTATATGTTACATCATACCAAACTTCAGGGGGTGGCGATGTTATATTCTATACTTGAGGGGGTCCGTCTGTATTAGTGAAAAACCTCAAGGGGTCTTGATGTAATTTCCTCCCAAAAAAACAAAAACGTAAAACCCTTATAAACTTTTTTTTTTTTGCCGGTTAAAACCCTTATAAACTGAAAAGCTTCGAACTGCACCCCCACCGTCTCCGCCTCCTTCGCTACANGACCGTTTAACACCAGCGGCTATATGTTACATCATACCAAACTTCAGGGGGTGGCGATGTTATATTCTATACTTGAGGGGGTCCGTCTGTATTAGTGAAATACCTCCGGGTCTTGATATAATTTCCTCCCAAAAAAACAAAAACGTAAAACCCTTATAAACTTTTTTTTTTTGCCGGTTAAAACCCTTATAAACTGAAAAGCTTCGAACTGCACCCCCACCGTCTCCGCCTCCTTCGCTACATCTTTGTCTACGTCTGCTGCTCTTTAGCTGCTCTGTGTTTCGCTGTCTTTCTCCTTCTCCCTCTCTCTATGTATATTTGTTTATAGACCGAGTTCTTATTTATTTCACCTTGTTTCGCCCTATAATACCACCGGTTGAAGTTGAAAAAGATGGCTCAAACAATTGAGGTATCTCTTTGTGGTTGTGCGTGTTTGTGTGAGTGTGTGTATATGTACATATCGTTTTTTAAAATGTTCGATTTTTGGTTAGACTCTTTTGGCACCGCAGTGTAGTTGAATCAATTTTTAATTGGGTTCTCTAAGAATTTTTTTGTTTGAGATTAACTTTTCTTTGATGGGTAAGTTCATATTTTTGTCATATTTGTTGCACTGAGGCGTAATTTATGTTTTGTGTGAATTTATCTGATTTGTTTTCTGCTAGCCTGAAATAGTAATCAGGTTATGGTTAATCCTTCTAGTTTGTTCATAATGTGAGTGCACATAAATTCAAGCCCATAGTTCTAGACTTGTTACCCATTTAACTTAAGGGCTCATTGCAGGGTGCCTCGGAGTGTGTGGAGGCGGTTCGGTTTAGTTTCATGACCCAGGAAGAGGTCAGGAGGCACAGTGTTATGAAGATAACAAACCCCAATTTGTTAGATAGTATGCAGAGCCCCGTATCTGGAGGACTCTATGATCCAGCATTGGGCCCATTAGATGACAAGACACCGTAAGTGCTCACAAAGGCAACTACCCAGTATATATAATGTTCTTTTAGCTAGTGAAATGTGAGCTAATACACAATTCTTGCTTATATTCTTGAAAGTTATATGTTGCTGATCATCAGTATTGGTTATATTGCCATTACCATTGTCTATCTTGCCTGGGTGTATGAAAGACTTGGTTCACAGTTGTTGGAATGGATAAAAGTTTGTTCATAATATCATCTATTTGTATGTGCTTGGGAGAGTTGTTATTGATTAAGCGGTCCCTTTCCTGTAAATATGCCAGCTGTGTTAATTCTACTCTAACTATTAGACAACCCAACCATTGCATAATTATTAATTTCAATGAGGAATGCCCTTGATGGATTGTATTACTTGATTAGATTTAGGTGCTGAATGATTGAATTTTGAGATAATAGCTGTTGTCCAATTGTGAGTTTATTGCACAACTAACCCTTTATTTGTCAACCATCTTTTAACTTAAAGGACCAGTGCTTCTATTCATCATTGTTGATTCTTAAGTAGATCTCTCTCTCCCCCCCTCTCTGGGATATACAAGTTCAAGGAGGGTAAATGGAACCAAAAGACAACCAATGGCGGCATCTCTGTATCTAGAGCTTAAAAATAGAAAAGGGATTTTTTCCTTTAAAGAGTGCTTACTTGGTTCGGGGAACCTGTTGAAGGAATGTGTGAGCCTTTGAAAGGGATGAGATGCCAATTTGCAAGTTGGAGATTATGATTCTTAGATTTCCATTCTTGTGGATTTCAGGGAGTCTTCTCTTTGCTTTTCTTTATGTTGTTTGTCTTAATGAGTGATGTGCCCTTCTTTTGTTTATATTTGGGAACGTTCTTGTATTCTGTACACATGGATGGCTGCCTTGGTTCTCATCAGTGAAGTTTTATGCATCGGACAACAGTGTTTTTATTACATCCTTAGACTCAATTCTGAATGTTGAAAATGTGACTAACATAAAATCGCATCTTTTTGTTATGTTGGTAACATTTACAACATAAAATCTTGGACAATATCTCCTTCTCACCTCAACTGTCACAGTCGCTTAAGTGACAACCGATAATACTTATCAATGCCCTGTCGTAGGATCCGTAGAATTGGTATAGGGTACTTGTAATAACTGCTGTTATATTGGAATTTAAGTGTAGTTATAGTGTAGGCTAGTGCTAGCATCATGCTCTTTTGAATGTCTTTGGTATGGTATTATACAATTTGGTNCATAGAATTGGTATAGGGTACTTGTAATAACTGCTGTTATATTGGAATTTAAGTGTAGTTATAGTGCTAGCATCATGCTCTTTTGAATGTCTTTGGTATGGTATTATACAATTTGGTTGTCAAGGAAAGGGCTTGTGGAAGTGTTTTGTTTCCTGGTTNGTTGTCAAGGAAAGGCCTTGTGGAAGTGTTTTGTTTCCTGGTTTTCGGTAGTAGACCGCTTTCTATATATCTGTCTCCATCCAATCAAAGATGCCCATACCATAGTGAATCTGACTCAGAAAAAATGAGACTAGGGACCATGACACCCCCGCCCAAAAAAAAATAAAAAAAAAATTATTTGATAGTCGAATTGGGGATGGAGATTTATGTGTACCAAAAATATAGTATGAAAAAATAAATGTATTTGTGAGAAGTGTTAGGTGGGTTGAAGTCGTAGAACATGGTTTGGCCATGCCCACAATGAAGTGGATGAAGTGATTTAATTTGAAGGAGACAAATGGTGAAGAAGAAGGCCTAAAAGAAAAATTTATTGTTTCAGAAAGGACATATTTTGATGGTGACTTACATATCCTGGGTACAAGGTAGCTAGCTTCTTGGTTCAGATGGTGATGGGTCCAATCATTATTTAATGGGAGTATAATCCAAAACATTTTTCTTTCCAGATTTTAAAATTTTGTGGTGTATCCAATTTTGGGGAAAAATAATCTGCTTTCTTTATCACACGTGTTTGATATGTTTACATGCTTGGTGCAGTTGTAAATCATGTGGCCAGCGTTCGTTCCATTGCCCCGGTCATTGTGGTCATATTGACCTCGTTTTAACAGTCTACAATCCTTTGTTATTTGATACACTTTACAGTCTTCTACAACGGACCTGTTTCTTTTGCTTCCATTTTAGGGCTAGCGGAGCTGAGGTATGTTCTGGTGAACAGTCTACAATCCTTTGTTATTTGATACACTTTACCAGTGTGTGTTTCATGCTATCATTGCATTGCTCTTTAATCCTCTTATTGCCTTTAGTTGAATTATTAATATGGTAGCCATATCTCTTCCTTTTTGATGACTCCTTTTTTCCCTTGCTTTTCTGGAACATTTGATTTCATGTAAGGTCGAGAAATGTGCTGCTCAATTGGAACTGATAGCTAAGGGTGACATTGTGGGGGCCAAAAGGTTGGATTCAAGCTCACCAAGTGAATCAGTGGATTCGGAGGACAGCGATGGGAGCCATGTATCATGTTCTACCAGTCATTTGGGTGCACAAAATTATAGCTCAGAGGCTCAAAGGCAGCAAGAATGGACCTCTCTTCAGTTCACTGAAGCAATGTCTGCTTTGCAAAAATTTTTCAAGTTGAAATATACGAAATGTATGAATTGCAAAGCCAAAAATCCGAAGATCAGTAAACCTACATTTGGATGGTTTCACATGGTATGCTACATGAGACCCTTCCCACTGCTGCATAACTGGCTAAAAAGATCCACAGTGCTTTTGATTTGCTAATGATTTCACAACATTATGATGCTCTGATGATTGTAGTTAATAGTTGACTTTAATCATTTTGGTGTGTATGTTAATCAGCTTGTTTTTTAATCGAAGTTAATAATTTTGTGGTNGTTTTGCTAATGATTTCACAACATTATGATGCTCTGATGATTGTAGTTAATAGTTGACTTTAATCCTTTTGGTGTGTATGTTAATCAGCTTGTTTTTTAATCGAAGTTAATAATTTTGTGGTCTTGCCAATTGGAAAGTTGGTCTCGCATGGTCTGTGCAAATGGAAAGCTGGTTGTGTTGAGGATGAATGCCTCGGTTTAATCTGACTTAGTTACTAATAATGATGGATATATATGAGGAGAGATGATACAAAGGTCTTACTTGACCCTTAAAAAAAGACAAACGATGGTTGTGGAACCCTTCTTAGGGATTGTAAAACAGATGTATTTTAGTTGTTGAAACCAAGATGGAAAATTGTATCTAGGAAAATGTAAGAAGCTTGTGGAGTGGTGAATGCATGGAATAGAAGTGGAACTCCTTAGGCAGCAAGCATTCTTTTGCTTGGGTTGGGTTCTTGCAATGTGGATGATATAAGCTTAGTAGCTTACTTGGGGCTTGTTGGATAGCATGGAGTACAACATTTAGTTAGGTTCTGTAAGGATGTACGTGCTAGGGAACGATACTGCTATGCTGTGCTTATAGCAATATTTGTAAAGGTGGGATTACTCTTGGCGTTTTCGAGGCAATTTCCATTTGGTTTGATTCGGTTTGTGTGCTATGGATCGGGTCAGTAGAAAGCTCTATAATGGTCATGAGGGTGTTTAATTTTCATATTGGTGGGTTCTTATCCCAGCGTAGCTTTCTTGCAATGTTGAAAAACACATTTTCTTCATCAACCAGAAGCTTAATAGCTACATTATTCCTTTTAGTTGGGAGGAGCATTTCTTGGATCTTACTCAAGAGTGGCTTTACTATTCAATGATGATGTGACAGTGGATTAAAATATTGGGTTTTCAATTTAGTGATCTTGTCTATTTTGACAATATGCAGCTCTTGAGGAATTGCTTAATTGTTTTTTGCTGGTGAATTTTTTTTTTTTTTTGTGAATTGAAAATGTTGAAAAAAGATTTACTAGAGTAGAACATTTAGGTTTTGAGTGTAATTGTGATGAGTAATGATGCATGGAGATAAAACAGATCAATTTCTAGGCCAGAAGAAAGCGTAATTGTGAACATCTAAGAAGCTTAGAAGGGAGGAGAGGAAATAGTAGTTGGACAAAGTAGTGATTTCAAAAGTCCAATGTTTTGTGGAAAGAAATTGGAATGGTAAATATTTGTGACCATTAGCTCACGGGAGGTAAAGATACAAGAAATAATTGTGAGCTTCTATGAGTGGTATTTACAGACTTACTAGGAGGTCTTAGTTGGAGGGGTTGGAGTATATCCCCATTAGAGGGGGAGACAAACATTGACTTAAGTGACGTTTTTATCAGAGAGACAGTAATGGAAGGCTTGAAAGAGCTCTTTTGGGGATAAGCTCTTTAGCTTGGATGGTAAGAGCAGGGAATATATATAACATAATTGGTCTATAGATAGTGAAGTTGTGATGGCTGCTGGGTTTTTTTTTATTGTGAGAGTTCTTATCTATTATTATTAGAAGTGTAGGGTAATAATGTAATTACTCATAATATTAGTTCATTATAAATAAGAGTCTAAGGCAACATAGCTCGTACACATGTTATTTCTCTTAATTTTTTTTCTCTTTTTCTCCTCTACTCTCCCTTTGCCAAACCTTAATCTTAGATTTATAACTTAGCTTTTATAAATTAGCTTGAGTGCCATGTTTGTAACATTAAATCCAAACATAAAAAGTGTAACACATATCGAGGACTTTATGGGAAATGTGTTATTGCTGAGATCATGGCATGCGATTCATGGTTTTTATCTTTTGATTTGTAGGGCATTTTCATTCAATGAAGAAATATTTTAGCTGTAGCATGTGTCGCAAATGTATGTGTGGCCTTAAATAAAGAACAATGAGTTAGGTTGGAGGGTAACGTGAATGTTACAAGACGAATGGCCAAGTTATATGGGATTTCTTGCTCTAGAATTTATGCATGGTTAATAGAGGTGCACATTTTGAGAAGTTTATCCATTATGATTGCCGTGTCCATGAAAGGATATGTAAGTTTGAGGAGGCGGCAAGGGGACCCACATAACACATTGTATTTCATTTAATCATAGAGGCATTGAACCGGTTGTAGTAATGGGAGGTGGTGTGCAGAGGGGCTGTATGGGCTGGTTAGAGGAGGCATATTTTGTCCCAAGACCTTATATATATATTTTTGTATCAATATATTTTATGTCGTGGAAGAGGAGCAATTTAGGCATTGTAGGTGCATGTTGTTGGGTTTTTGAAGTGATTTCAAAACTAAGGATTGTTGGTGATACATAGAATGTTTCAATTGATGAAATGGCAGATATATTAGATCTGGTAAGCAGTGGCGCAGCCAGGAATATAATCGAAGGTGGACACACTTTAACTATAAGTTTTACTTTGTTCTCTAATAGATAAAAAAAATGTGATATATTTATGTTTTTTATATCATATTTGATACTTAAAAGATTCATTAAACATAAAAGGGCCCAAAGCTAGTATATATATTTCTATGCAAACATAANAACATTAAATCCAAACATAAAAAGTGTAACACATATCGAGGACTTTATGGGAAATGTGTTATTGCTGAGATCATGGCATGCGATTCATGGTTTTTATCTTTTGATTTGTAGGGCATTTTCATTCAATGAAGAAATATTTTAGCTTTAGCATGTGTCGCAAATGTATGTGTGGCCTTAAATAAAGAACAATGAGTTAGGTTGGAGGGTAACGTGAATGTTACAAGACGAATGGCCAAGTTATATGGGATTTCTTGCTCTAGAATTTATGNCATGCTAGGGAACGATACTGCTATGCTGTGCTTATAGCAATATTTGTAAAGGTGGGATTACTCTTGGCGTTTTTGAGGCAATTTCCATTTGGTTTGATTCGGTTTGTGTGCTATGGATCGGGTCAGTAGAAAGCTCNTGTATATATATTTTTGTATCAATATATTTTATGTCGTGGGAGAGGAGCAATTTAGGCATTTTAGGTGCATGTTGTTGGGTTTTTGAAGTGATTTCAAAACTAAGGATTGTTGGTGATACATAGAATGTTTCAATTGATGAAATGGCAGATATATTAGATCTGGTAAGCAGTGGCGCAGCCAGGAATATAATCGAAGGTGGACACACTTTAACTATAAGTTTTACTTTGTTCTCTAATAGATAAAAAAAATTTGATATATTTATGTTTTTTATATCATATTTGATACTTAAAAGATTCATTAAACATAAAAGGGCCCAAAGCTAGTATATATATTTCTATGCAAACATAAAAAAACTAAAAAGAGGTTAATTATAACCTTTTACAAAAAAATGAGGTTAATTACAACCATTTACCATTGGTTCCGACTAGTTTTCATAATTTGAAAAACGTTCCATGAATATGGTATTTCCCTGCGTTGGGCATTCATTTGACTATAAACTACTGCCATTGTGATTTATGGAGAGTTGGCTGATTATCTGGTCGTTTTGATTTTTTGCTGATATTATAAATCAGGTGGTGCTAGGCCATATCAAATCTTGCAAATCAACTTTATTGCAATATTAATCTTCGCGCTTCTAATCATTTTTACCTCTCACAAATATATGTATAGACTGGTATGTCAGGATCCCATACTAGAGCAAATGTTATTAGAGGTTGCAAGTTGGAGGGCCCATTCAATGGTGGAACTGAGGAGAGACCCTCCTCTGAAGTGCTAAATGCTGATGAACATCCACGGGAAATTGGGCTTGACACTGCTGAAACCAATTCATTCTCTGATGTGATTGAAGAAGCTTCTACAAAAAGTCATGCAAGCGAAAAGGCTCGAGCTCCTGTTGAATTCCTTAAGCAGAATAAGTTCTTTTCAGGACCTATTTTACCATCTGAGGTATGTTGATAGGCAGCCTTAATTTTGTGACTATTCATTACTGTTATTATTCAACATCTATATTTGTTGTCTTTGATGATGTTCTCAGCCATCGAGACCTCACAACCTATATGAACTTGGAGTTGAACTCTGTATTTGTCTCCTTTCACAGGTTATAAATATTGTCAAGCGTTTGTGGGAGAATGAGGCCTACCTCTGCTCATTTATCTGTGATATTCAGCAAGGGCGCCTAAATACATCTGGCAAGAAGACAGGTCACTCTATGTTCTTTCTAGAGGCCATTCTCATCCCCCCTATCAAATTCCGCCCTGCAACCAAGGGAGGTGATGCTGTAAGTATGCTACGTTTGTGCATGCGATTTGTTCCTGACAGACTAGCTCAAGATATATCTGTGATTAATAGAAACAGATTGCTTTTTCGTTGGAGTGGATTTTATTGTAGGGAACAGGCCTAACGACATTTTATCTAAGATAATATACCCAGGAGTTGTCCCAATTGTCTATATATTTATCATTCTGATGCCAATTTTTGCTTATCGGTACTGTTTTAGTGTCTCGGGAAATCATTGAGAGTTGTGCTTCAAATGTATTTTTGATTGCTGGTTGCTGCAGCATATGTAAGAGGTTTTTTTTCTTTGTCTATTGGCCCCCTTTTTGTGTGTTTGTTTTGGGGAGGGAGTGGCATATTGAGTTCATGCCATCTCTTCCTACTATTGTGTGTATGATAAGTTGCAACTGTGCACTAAATGATGCTTTGTCGAATAACATTATTGACAATTTTCACTTTTGATGTTACCTTCAGGTGATGGAGCATCCTCACACGGTTTTGTTAGGCAAGGTGCTGCAGTCCAATATAGCTTTAGGGAATGCTCGTGTTAACAATTCAGAACCTTCGAAGATTGTTAGTCGCTGGATGGATCTTCAACAATCTGTAAATGTGTTGTTTGATAGCAAGACTGCTGCAGGTAAGTTATTTTTCTGTTTTATGTTATCGTTGGTTTTCCATTGTTTGAGACCTAGTTGTTGCACAAGCAAGGTACGATGTTTGGTCTACCTAAACAAACAAATAAAGCCATCCTTTGTATTTCTTTGGTTTCCCTTTTCTCTCTCTTTTCCTCCCTTCTGAACAGGGAGCTAGACCAAGTGTAGTTTTCAAAATTCCTTAATGGACATATACTTGACACACAATAAACTGTATCTTCATAATATCATCTGGTCAAGTTGAGGGAATATTTGTGAAGGGAGGAACCTAATTTACTTTGCATGGAAAGAACTCTGCTTGAGTAAGCATCAGAACAGTTGAACATAAACAGGTAAAAATACATTTGGATGTTCCACCATCATTTAAGCGTGACAAATGGGGCCGTGCTTTTTCTGATGCATGTTGTTAGTTTTTAACTGTCTTGAGATGTTAATCAAACCCAACCTGTCATCTTCTCAGGCTCTAAATGAATTCTACAACTAGTATTTTCTTTTTGTTCATAAAAGAATAAACATTGGATACAAGGTTTGAACTCTCTTTTAGTACGTTCTCTCATTTCCAGGGTGGAGCACTTTGACCTTTTACAATTTGCTAGAGTGATAGGTGGAGTTGGCCTTGTTGCAAGAGTACAGATTAGCGACTTTCAGCAGAAATCCTCATTTGAGTTCAATTTCAAGCATTTTTGTAAATGGAAAGTCGATTGAGGCCATACTGTCCATAAGATAGTTAATTGTTTTGTCGATCTTTTAACCAGGATAGATATTGAAGTTTCTAGGTTTGAATACGTTTTCATCACCGCCTTTCCTGATGAGATTCTGACTGTTCACGTATCAAATCCCATTACCCGTCTAGTTTGGTTGAATTTGGGATACCAAGCTGTCTTGTTATCAAAGAATAGTACACTTCTGCATGCCACCGAAGCCAGAGGATAGCACAACGAGAGTTAGAAGTTTATACCGCAATTCTTTGATGCTCATTTATCATCTTGAAATTCATAATGGATTTTTGCCATTTCTCTGTCCCCCAATTCCTCGCTCTCATCGCAACACTTTGTACCTGAACACAAATGGCGTAACCTGGTTGTTTTCTTTAATCACTAAAAATTTTCATTTGGACTGGTCTAACATTTGTTGCACCTTTTGGCGGGGTTTCTGCGATGAACTACATTGTTTTTTGCGGAAGCTTCTGAAAGTTTATTTGTTGAAAGTATGCAGATAAGATAAAATCACAGGGGTCTTCAAACTTCCGTACATTGCTGATCTTTAGGGAAAATTTTTGTCATGATATAAAATGTTGTTGTGGAAGCTTCCAAAAGTTTTCATGGAAGGTCAGCCGAGCAAGATAACTTCACAGGGAGCTTAAACTTTTTGAAAGGAAAAAATGAAATAGCTTCATTTTGTGCAACTGTTGTCTTACACTTTTATTATGGCTTCATTAACATGTTTGAGAGAGCCAAGCATTTTTTCATCCACTGATTTCGGGGTTACTATTTCTTACTGTTTGGAACTTAATATTCTTGTGGAAGGCCTTTGGTCATTAATCCTTGTGGTAGGGGTGAATGTGAGATTCTGATAGGTTTTGATCTGCCTAAAGTACTAGTCTTCATTGATAAACCTGGCAAATGTAACAGTGAAACGGTGAAGAAAGGGAGAATGATTCTTCACCTTATGTCGATATTAAGAGAGTTATTCTCTAATTTAATTTAGTTGCTGCCAATAATAGATAGTCATAAGCTTTTGACAAAGCCATTGTAATTTGAACTGGTTAATAAGTGGTTTCACTCTGATTGTGTACAAATATACACTGCCAAAGTTGAGAACAGAATTGGTCCAAGTTTGTGATCCCAGCTTAGTAGGAACTGAGTAGAAGTCTGACATTTGTATCTTTTGTCGTGAATTTGGATCTAGAACAATGAGATTTGTTTCTTCATGATGAAATTTCACAAGTAATTTGGGCATGTTGTCATGTATCACCAACAGATGAATTTTGAATGTGGAAGATGCTAACCACATGGCTGAAGTAGGTGAGCATTTATCCCTTTTTGAAGAAGAATGCAGACATCCCTTCAATCCATCCTACTTAGCTGGGGGCTGTATCTTATTTTCAATATAATCTCTTCCGCCCCATGTCTATTCTCCACCTCATTTTGATTTCAATAGAGTAATTGATGTAGATCATATAGCTTTGATAGACTATACCAATTGATGTAGATTAAGAAGAAGAGAAATAAAGATGAGAAGAGAAGAAGAAAGGGGATGAGTAGGGAAGAAAGTTACGAGAAATCAGAAGAGTGAGATGNTCATAATGGATTTTTGCCATTTCTCTGTCCCCCAATTCCTCGCTCTCATCGCAACACTTTGTACCTGAACACAAATGGCGTAACCTGGTTGTTTTCTTTAATCACTAAAAATTTTCATTTGGACTGGTCTAACATTTGTTGCACCTTTTGGCGGGGTTTCTGCGATGAACTACATTGTTTTTTGCGGAAGCTTCTGAAAGTTTATTTGTTGAAAGTATGCAGATAAGATAAAATCACAGGGGTCTTCAAACTTCCGTACATTGCTGATCTTTAGGGAAAATTTTTGTCATGATATAAAATGTTGTTGTGGAAGCTTCCAAAAGTTTTCATGGAAGGTCAGCCGAGCAAGATAACTTCACAGGGAGCTTAAACTTTTTGAAAGGAAAAAATGAAATAGCTTCATTTTGTGCAACTGTTGTCTTACACTTTTATTATGGCTTCATTAACATGTTTGAGAGAGCTAAGCATTTTTTCATCCACTGATTTCGGGGTTACTATTTCTTACTGTTTGGAACTTAATATTCTTGTGGAAGGTCTTTGGTCATTAATCCTTGTGGTAGGGGTGAATGTGAGATTCTGATAGGTTTTGATCTGCCTAAAGTACTAGTCTTCATTGATAAACCTGGCAAATGTAACAGTGAAACGGTGAAGAAAGGGAGAATGATTCTTCACCTTATGTCGATATTAAGAGAGTTATTCTCTAATTTAATTTAGTTGCTGCCAATAATAGATAGTCATAAGCTTTTGACAAAGCCATTGTAATTTGAACTGGTTAATAAGTGGTTTCACTCTGATTGTGTACAAATATACACTGCCAAAGTTGAGAACAGAATTGGTCCAAGTTTGTGATCCCAGCTTAGTAGGAACTGAGTAGAAGTCTGACATTTGTATCTTTTGTCGTGAATTTGGATCTAGAACAATGAGATTTGTTTCTTCATGATGAAATTTCACAAGTAATTTGGGCATGTTGTCATGTATCACCAACAGATGAATTTTGAATGTGGAAGATGCTAACCACATGGCTGAAGTAGGTGAGCATTTATCCCTTTTTGAAGAAGAATGCAGACATCCCTTCAATCCATCCTACTTAGCTGGGGGCTGTATCTTATTTTCAATATAATCTCTTCCGCCCCATGTCTATTCTCCACCTCATTTTGATTTCAATAGAGTAATTGATGTAGATCATATAGCTTTGATAGACTATACCAATTGTTGTAGATTAAGAAGAAGAGAAATAAAGATGAGAAGAGAAGAAGAAAGGGGATGAGTAGGGAAGAAAGTTACGAGAAATCAGAAGAGTGAGATGAGAAGAGAAGAAGGGGATGAGAAACAAAGATTAAGGTGAAACAATTCTCAATATTATTCAATAACTCGAGTCTGAATNATATGGGAAGAGAAGAAGGGGATGAAAAACAAAGATTAAGGTGAAACAATTCTCAATATTATTCAATAACTCGAGTCTGAATAAAACCCTTACATGCAACCCAAAACTCCAAAATGAAGACTCCTAACATAACTCTACCACTAGAAAGATAAATACAAACAATAAAATAAACCAAAAAACAATAAAAACCTCTGGGACATGGAACAATACATTAAGGCTGCTATTCATGCCCCTGTTGACGACCAAGTCACAATGGCAACAATGAAACTCTTTGGGGATGCGAAGAATATTTGAAACCACTCTCGAACCATCACACGGATTTCGACCCAATTGCCCATGATATGGTAAGAATAAAATGGAAGATAAAAAAAACGATTCTATGTGCAGACGTGAAAGTTCTATCAAAAGAAGCATTCTAGCCAATCCTATATTTCCTGCCAATATTAGATAGTTGTAAGCTTTCAACAAAGCCATTGTAATTTGTACTGGTTGAATAAGTGGTTTGACTCTAATGGTGTATAAATATACGTTACAGAAGTCGAGAACATAATTAGTCCAAGCTTGTGATCTCAGCTTAGTGAGAACTGAGTAGAAGGCTGACTTTTGCATATTTTGTCATGAATTTTGTATGCAGAAGAATGAGTTGTCCCTTCATGATGAAGTTTCACGGGTAATTTGGGCATGTTGTTGTCCATTTATTATGAACAAATGAATTTTGAATGTGGGAAATGCTAACAACGTGGCTGACATTGGTGAGCTTTTATCCCTTTTTTGGAGAAGAAGGCACATATTCCTTTCAGTATAGCCTCTTGCCCCCCTTGTCTCTTTGATATGCAAACCCTAGCTCCTCATTCTATTGTATGATAATGTCATCAGTCCTGTTCCATCATCATCGTCTTCTGTGTGCTATAAATTTTAACAGCAATCATATAACTTATCTAGCAAAAGAAATATGCGGGCATAAACGGCCATAGATCTAGCTTTTTTTGTTATTGAAAGGGAGAGAGAGAGAGAGAGAGAGAGAGAAGATGGTGCAATCCAGTGGTGTTTATCACCGGTGACAATTTGAAAAGAAAGATGGTGCAATCTGGTGGTATTTATCGTCGTTGACATTGTGGTTTCATGGTGGTCTGCAATAAGGGACGGTAGGTTGTTGTGATACCGTGTTGGAGCAAAAGACTCAAAATGGTGGTCTTTTTAGTTTTCTTCTGCTTGCTTGTTATTGTCAGCGCTTTATTCTGAAAGGAGAAATCATCACAAATTCCTCATTCTGGTGAGGTGGTAGAGGGACTGTTGGTGTCACCTAAAGAAGTGTACAAAGCTATCCTATGCTACATATGTGAGTAGAAGTGCATAACCGTTGTCTATGTATATTGTCTTTTCAGCAATAGTGTACATAATGAGCCACTTAACTGGCATAACCCTTTTTCCATGTCTATAGTCTTTGGTGCAATAGTCTACATCATGAGCAACTTAGCATGCATTTCTGCTTGCCCTATTTTATTTTTTTGGTGGAATTTACCAATATGTTCATGTCCCTTCATCTAGGACAGTTTATGGCCCGATTTTGTGATCATCGTTTGTAGCTTTTCATTGGTGTCTTTTATATTTGATGATAGGTCAAGGTCAAAGAGATGTTTCTACTGGAATAAGTCAGTTGCTGGAGAAGAAAGAGGGTATCTTTCGCCAGAAAATGATGGGAAAGAGGGTTAATTATGCATGCCGGTCTGTCATATCTCCAGACCCTTATTTGGCAGTCAACGAAATTGGAATTCCTCCGTACTTTGCTTTGAGGTTAACCTATCCAGAGGTATGAATGAATAATTTTTGCTTATGTCTATATAAAGCATGTGTTGCAGAGGTATGATTTACTGTTCATAAATATTTGCTTTTCTACATCCATCAACATTCCCATAGACATTTAATTAGGTTGAATCTAGGAAGCACAGGTACTTGAAAAATGGAGAAGTATCGGTATCCAATATGCATTTGATATGGATACGTGTCCTATATGAAGGGATACATCAGGTACATCCTATATGTATTCCATGATAAATAAATTATTTTTTAATTTTTGGATAAGTCTGAGATACGTGGGGATACACAAAGATACATTTTGGGATACATCACGAGTTGCAGGGAGACTTAATAGTTATTTTCAGTTTTTTGAAACATGATTACACAATTGTTTGTTTCAAACCACAATTTATGAGAAAAATAGTAAAATAAAACAATGAAAAGCTGGTTCGATCAAACCAAGAAATTGCAGTCCTATTGTTTTCTCGGGGAGATAACTCCATTATAGTCATTGGTGTCTCTAGACTCTCCACAGCATCCCTCCAAGGTATTCATTGGAGTGTCCACAACATCTGAATTAACCAAAATCTTCCTCTACCAGTATCTTTAGCATACTCAAGACTTGGAATGTTTTCAATCCAATGCTAAACTGGGGTTGACGGGGCTCTTCTTCACCGGTGGATATTGAATTTAAAATTTCTCATCAAAAAATTAAAATAAGAAGAATGTAGAGAGGCAAACCATTCTAGGAGAGAGAGATGAAAAAGAGAGATAGCCACACGTGATGAAGAATGAGATGTGAAGGAGAGAGAATCACTTATCGAAAAGACGGGAGTGTCCATGCGATGCCTTAATTGACTTAAGGGATTGCTGCGACACATCTGGATTATCAAATATAAACAAAAGTCAATTACTCATTTTGTGAGGTACNACCACTTATCGAAAAGACGGGAGTGTCCATGCGATGCCTTAATTGACTTAAGGGATTGCTGTGACACATCTGGATTATCAAATATAAACAAAAGTCAATTACTCATTTTGTGAGGTACATCTAACAATTGTTGTAAATATCTGCAGCCCCAAGCGCTCCATTTTTGGACTTGGGTCTCCACCAAACTAGACACAAATATATATTGGTTTGAGACGTTGAATCAACAAATAATATCTTTTTTTTGTTTTTTTGAAATATTGAAGAACTTATCAGTAATTACAGTAGTTATATAATAAAAAATGTAAGAATATATATATTTTGTAATAGGTGCATCATTCCCGTACATATATCCTAAATTTTTTAGATATTGTCGTATTGTTGTATTCACATCTTGTCGTATTTGTATTCAGTATCCTGTATTCATATCCATGCTTCAGAGAGTTGAATGCACATGAGAACCTAAATATGTGAATGGCATATTTTTTTTGGGGTTTGATGCAACTACTTCGACTTATTAACATGCCTCAAAAGGAATGTGATATTGGTGGAGAGGGGTAAACACCAACTTCTGTATGCTCGATCCAAGTAAAGAACATCTTCACTATGGTTGGAAAATATCATATTTGACCTTATGTATTATGATTGGGCTGCCACATATGTTGCCTGATCAGTTTTTGCTAACTCTTGAAAGTTACTGGGGTTTTAGAAAATGACCCAACACTTAACCGGTTATTCCTAACCGACGCTTCTAATTTATGCTCGTTGTTCACCTTGCATTTAACAACATTGGCTTTGGTTTTAATTATGCTTGCACCTTATTACTTGTACCCATAAAGTCTTTTGGGCCTAGCCCATCTGAGGTCTGAGTCTTATCCTCTAGGCTTGAGTTAGCAGTCTTAGCAAGCCTTCGACCCTGGGGAGAGGTCTCATTTACTAAAGCAAAAACTTTAGTGACTTGCATGCTGTCTGGTCCAATAGGCGTAATTCTTCGTCAGGAGTAGATTGGAATGTCTTTTCAGAAGTCTCGAAAATGTATGTCTAAGAATCTCATTAGTACTCTTTCTGGTAGGAATAAGGGAAAATTAAGATAGGAAAGGGTCATTTATCTCAGATGCCAACCTGATGTAGGTCAAGTGTGCACAATACTCTTTGACAAGCTATGCTAATCCAATATTGTGCAGCAGAAATGATGGGTTTAGAGAGTCAGTATGATTCATTTTAAAATTTGATTGGTTCCAGAATTTTTAAGATAAAGACTCTTAAAAGTTATGGACAGCCTGCAATTTAGGATTTTAGGTGTATTTTTATGACCAAAGTGTTGGGTTAAAGGTCAGGGTTGCTTATCGATCCATACTGTAGGTTAAATGTCTGTTTTGGAGCTGTGAAAGGTTAGCAGTACTCTTGGTGGTTTAGTATTACCTTGGGCGTGTTTTGTGAAAGGTTAGCAGTACTCTTGGTGGTTTAGTATTACCTTGGGCGTGTTTGTATAAGGATAAACTACACCTTTCTTTATTACAGTTTGGGCCAATTTTCACTTTGGTTGATGTTGTTTTAAAGTTGAACAATATTAATTTTTTCAGTGATAATTGAAAAGAAGCTTATGCTTCATAAGCTAGGGTTTCATAGCTGAAAAGTTGCTTAAGGCCTCATCACAGCTAGAAAAAGAAGAGGAGTTAGAAGGGTATTGTTATAAAAATACCACCTAGTTGGCCGCTGAAGTCTTGTAATGCTGGTTGGGCTGTGACATCACAATCAGGAAACTAATAATTCTTATGTTCTAGAATATGCATTCAAATAAAACTTCCTTAACTGGGGTCTATTCTTTATATGATTATTTCCTCTCCGGGGTTAGAAATATCATGGATTGAGGATGTAATTTTTGATAATGTGATTATACCAAAATCTCTCTTTTGGTTTTTTTGGTTGTGCGACCCAAAATCTGACTCATGGACTGGGTATACGGCCCATTTCCAGTAAATTATGAAAATCTTAAAATCCCCCGACTCTAGAATACCTAAGAAGTTTAGGTTAAAAAAGTTCAGTGATCATTCTATGAGCCATGCAAAATTCCAGATTTACCCTTTTCTTGTGCAAACTATTCCGTATGAATGTGTTTTCTAAACTATGAGATAAAAAATTATTTGGAAGCTGAACTTTGGGAGAGTTCTTTTAAATTCTTTTTAGGTCTCTATCACTGTAGAATTTGGAGGCTGGTCTCTGAGTTCCATAATTGTAGATGTGGTGGCTGTGATTTATTGTCAACATTATAAAATGAGCTTGAATTCTAATGGTTGCTCTCATGGTAATCCTGTTCAGNCCGGGGTCTATTCTTTCTATGATTATTTCCTCTCCGGGGTTAGAAATATCATGGATTGAGGATGTAATTTTTGATAATGTGATTATTCCAAAATCTCTCTTTTGGTTTTTTTGGTTGTGCGACCCAAAATCTGACTCATGGACTGGGTATACGGCCCATTTCCAGTAAATTATGAAAATCTTAAAATCCCCCGACTCTAGAATACCTAAGAAGTTTAGGTTAAAAAAGTTCAGTGATCATTCTATGAGCCATGCAAAATTCCAGATTTACCCTTTTCTTGTGCAAACTATTCCGTATGAATGTGTTTTCTAAACTATGAGATAAAAAATTATTTGGAAGCTGAACTTTGGGAGAGTTCTTTTAAATTCTTTTTAGGTCTCTATCACTGTAGAATTTGGAGGCTGGTCTCTGAGTTCCATAATTGTAGATGTGGTGGCTGTGATTTATTGTCAACATTATAAAATGAGCTTGAATTCTAATGGTTGCTCTCATGGTAATCCTGTTCAGTTAGGGTTTGGAGGTATTCCTAGGAATTGTGAGGTAATGTAGCTTTCTTGTTTCTAAGCCAACAAGTATATGTTAGGCATCAAAGTGAAGATTTTGGCCCTTTCAGATGGGCTTACAGAGGCAAAATCTATGGGCTTCATAAGTGCATGATCGATGGCGACACTGATAATTAGATGGATAAAAAGCGATTTTTGGTCTTTCTTCCCATGCCAGATTTGCTTATTGGATTGTTGGATTAGTGTATTTGATGGATTCCAAGATCCCATGTTGGCTAGGCCTCATCGATGCCTCAGTTTGGGAACTCAGAGGCAGCCATTTTTTGGCTATGAAAGGGAGTCCAAGTTGTTGCATTGAGAGGTCATTTTCACTCCTTGAGGAGTGTTACTTTTGCTTGTTTGGAGCTATTTTGATAAGCTGTTTATTTCTCTCTTTGACGTTTTCCTTTTTTTTTTTTTGTAAAAATGTGTTTTATGGTTCATATTTCTGTTTCCTTACAGTGTATCATCTTTACTGGAGAATGCTGTTCTTCTGCTTAATTGTTGTGGTGAGGGTGCTGGGAGATTTCATATAATGAACTTAATGCCCTTCAAATCATGGAGGTTCCATGAGATGATGTGGCTACATTCTGCAAACTGATTGTCAATGGAGTAGATGGTCGCATGCTTTTATGTAGTGGAACAGATGTTTCCTTCTTCCATCAGACTAAAATTGGAAGCACATTACCAAGAGTATTGTGTTGAAGTTTCCTTTATTAATCTGGACATTCCCCATTTTGAAAGCAGGAAAATCGATCACGAACCCTACTTTTTGTGATGCCAGCCACTGAATTATGTATTTTTGTACCAAGCAGTTGCTCATTTCTATCTTTCTTTATAGAAAACACACAAATTTAGAACACCACCCTCAGTCTTTTGACACTTTTAACTTGGAACAAAATTCTCTCTGGATTCAAATAGTGGATTTAGTGAACCATTATGTTTTTACCTTTTTAGAAGCTTTTGGAATACAAATGTTGTAGTTTAGGAGCAAATCCCATGTGAGGATGCTCACTTTTGTGTTGTGGAATCACCAAGAAATACTGGATCAAATAACTGTAGAAGAGGGAAAGAGTGAAGAGCTTCAAAGATGAGGATTTACTTGATTATTTGTTTTTTTTTTTTTGGTTCAAATTGGTGCATGGTTGTTGTTTTGGGTGACATTTGAATGAAGGCACAATTGGCCCCACCAATCTTTTGATGACAACAAAATTGGTGAGATAGAGGTAATAGTCCGAATTCTAGTTGTGTTGGGAGGTTGGCTTTTCATTCTGAACTGGAAATAACAAAGTCATTTCTTGTTTACATATGTTTCTGTGTGTGCACCTTATTTTATTGTGATTAACAAAATTTATGCCTTGCATCTGGTATTAGCCACGTAATGTCAAACCAAGTGATTCATTATTAGATGTGGGGTAAGGCCTCTTTAAAGTTGCCATCTATAAATCCAACTCTTAAATTGGTTATTTCAGACATATTTTTTTACATCTCAAGCTCACAATATATGATGAGGTGGGTATAGGGATGCTAGTGCTTTGTCTTTGGATGGCAATGTTGGGTCTCTGGTTTATATATTAGAATTCATGTGAACTCTGTTTTTTATATTCTTTCATTTCTATTTTGATTATATTGTTTTGTCGTATCTTGAAATTATCCAGAGAGTGACTCATTGGAATGTTGTGAAACTGAGGGATGCCATTGTTAATGGCTCTGAATTCCATCCTGGAGCTACACATTATGCTGATAAAGTATCTACAGTGAGACTACCGCCGAGCAAAAAGATGCGCATTGCAATTTCTAGAAAATTGCCTTCATCCAGAGGAGTGGTTACCCAATCTGCTAAGATCTGTGACTATGAATTTGAGGGCAAAACTGTATATCGTCACTTGCAGGATGGGGATATCGTGCTCGTAAATCGGCAGGTATTGCATATTTTTCCTTGATATATGAACTCATGCTTATCCCTGTTGTACATGCAAGAGCTGCTCAGTTTGAGGTGAATGAGGTCAGTGTATCATGTGCAGCACTTGGATGCTGCCAAGTTGTGAGGATTTGCTGTAAAGTTCACCTTTTGTTTTGTGCTTGATTCTCTAATTAATAAATCCATTATATTAACCTGAAACTACATTTATAAGAAAAACGAAAGAGTGATGCATCTCATTTCTGCTTATTAATGTGAAGAAAAAATGTATGCTCAAACTGGGGGATGGAAAGGATACCAGTGTGTTGAAATTGATACAATCTTGTCATCTTATATGGTTGCTCAATAAAACAGTGTACACAGTGCACGAGGCACCCACCATTGTGGGGTAGATGTACGCAAAGTTACCCCTGGTGGTTTCTGCGACTAGGTTATGTGGTTACTAAATACATATTATTTTTCTATTTAGCTACTGTTGGCTTGTGGGGGATTATATCATTTCTGTTCATGTGCAAACAAAGCTCAAGTTTATCCCGGATGTCCTTAACCGAACTAGTCTCCTCTAGGCTCTTGTTCCTTTGTTGCTCTATCTAGCATGTATTCCAGCATCGTCATCCTTTTTTCATCCTCTTTTTTTGTTTTGGATTCTTTTCCTTTATCACATTCNGTTTATATCCTTTCTGTTCATGTGCAAACAAAGCTCAAGTTTATCCCGGATGTCCTTAACCGAACTAGTCTCCTCTAGGCTCTTCTTCCTTTGTTGCTCTATCTAGCATGTATTCCAGCATTGTCATCCTTTTTTCATCCTCTTTTTTTGTTTTGGATTCTTTTCCTTTATCACATTCAGCTTCTAGAATCATTTGCGCATGGTCTGAGCATCTTAAATGGTTTGCGGGTATTGTTTTGAGCAAGTGCCACCTCAACTCTCTCTCTATCTCCCTCTCTCTTGGAGAGTTCTACTTGTAAGTTGTACCATGTCTCCTTTTTTTCAGAACTACTGAAAAATATATAAATTATGTTTTAGTTACGTATTCTTCTACGGAAACCAATTGTTTATTGAAGGCAGTGTATGACTGTTAATATTGGACCCATTAGGTTGTCTTTATTCGGAGATCTTGGAAGGTAAGCAAGAAAAAGTGACAGGTGGGGGTTCATAGTCATATATTTACCCTACGGCTAAAGCAACATGTAGGGTGAAATGTTGAAAGTTGTATGAACTTGTCCATTTTGTTGATAATTATAATCAATTGCTTAGCCCTGGTGAAGGATGTTCTAATGGAGGAAAACCGGCAATTACTTGGTGTTGGTCCATTTATGGGGGAAGCAGGCTAGATTAGGTACAAAACTGGCCTTTATTCGGACATGCTCTTGGTCTTATCTGCTCTAGTTCTTGACATTGCAGAAAGCAATGACCCCTGACGGCCTGGCCTGGCTGTATTGTTTGATTTGAAAATTTTAATGCCTGTCCTTGTCATGCCCAGAGTTTTGTCAAGTTGTATATTGAATCTTTTCAATCCTTAATAACGTATATTGTTCCCTTAATCTATTTGATCAAGCCGTTAATGGAAAATATAATTTAAACTCACAGTGAAGATCCAACATTATCTAGGGGTTCACACTTGGAAGATAAATTATCTAGAATTTCTGGAGCCGAATCTGACAAATGCAAGAAAGACGCATTCAAAAGTAAACAAAGGTCTTTATCACGAGATTCAAGTGAGGTTGACAAGCTTTGCTGCTTTGAAAATATTGGCAAAAGAATGAGAGTATTGATTCATTCTATCGAATCATCTCTGTTGCTTCTAGTAAAGGTCAGTCGGAGTTTCCAACAAAAGTGGTTTAACTTTGGAAGAGGATGTTCCATCAAAGGAAGTCAACTTAGGCTTTTTAATCATTATTTGAGTACAGGGCCTATACTTCAGAGCCCATAATCAATTTCGTATTTTTTTAAAGCAAATACTCTTTAAAAGGCATCTGACAATTGGGCGCAACCAAGTTACATAAGTTATATGTGAGACAAGCCACCCCAGGGGAAGATCTCTACTTTCAATATAGGGGAAGTGCATCTGTCCAACTACGTGCACATGAGAAAAGAACTAAAAATTGGATGATCTGGCGATCTCTAATCTGTTGTTTCGGTTGTTGCTCTACCTGGTCTAGGCCACATGGCTCGAAAGGGATAGCTCCAATAAAAAAAAGGGCCCAAAGAATCCAACCAAGAAAAATTGATGTTGTATTGTACTTTGTAGGTATAAAGTTTTTAATTTCCAAGACTACCTTGATCATATATTATTGCATATAAAGACACAAAATTAAAATGATCTGACCTATGGATGATCAATCCATGCACAACAAATCTTGATATTTTGAGGACACTTACTTGTTGAGACAGATAATCTGACCTATACCATGTTACCCTAAAGTGGAAAAAATAGTCTTATAAAAAAAAGAATTAAGTTAAATAAAATCATAATCCTACCATATGAAAACCCTGTTTGCCTCTATTCTTGTTTGAATTCCGTGCAGCAGAGTTTCTTGATCAGACAATTAAGATTGTTGTGTCTTACAGGGGGAATGGAGGCTTATGGTTTTATCTGCAATTTAGCTGTGTAGTGATATAATGTGTTGTAGAACTGTAACATCTGGTGTTAAAAGAATGAGGAATTGGAAATTTAAAGGAGGATGAGGGAAATATATTCTGCAAAGTCTTTATACTAGAATGTTGCTTCTAAGAAGGCTTTATTTTGGATGTTAGGGTAAGAAGAGTGGGGCACCAAAGCCCTTGTAGGGATGCTGTGAAAAGATTGAACTTGAAAGGTTTATCAGGTTCCTTTTTGAATGTGTTTGCAATTGGAGGAGTTAGGATTTTCCTATCTCATTTGCTTTAGTTTCTTTTCTTAGGCCGTCTCATCGCTAGAGATGTCTTCAGGGGCATATTTGCTTTGCAGAAATTAGCACCAATGGCAATGAAGCGAAGTCTTGAATTTTAGAGCTTGTCTTGGTGAATCTGAAGCATGTTTTCTTAGATTTTTTTTTCTTTTGGCGCTTTATTTACTCTTCACTTGATGGAGATTTCTTTCTTAGTCAAATTTAACATTGTTTACACGGTGTTAAATTTTTTCCAAGTCAATGTTTACTGGTTGTGTTTGGATATTGCTTCTTGTCAGATTTTCCATTCTCTTGTGTTGTGAGCTGTGTTATTATAGTGTACATTGTATCTTAATTGTACTTTGACCTGACTTTTGTTCAAAGGGTGCTGTTTTAATGTGGTTAACATTTTTCATGGCAGCCTACTCTCCATAAGCCAAGTATAATGGCACATGTTGTTCGTGTACTGAAAGGGGAGAAAACTCTTCGTATGCATTATGCAAATTGCAGGTATGCTTTAGTCTATAGTTCTAATCGTTTATCTTGTTTTGTTTGGATATTTGCTTCCTTTGAGTGACTTACATTTTGTTTTTGGACTTCAGTACCTACAATGCTGATTTTGATGGTGATGAAATGAATGTTCATCTACCTCAGGATGAAGTTTCGCGTGCTGAAGCTTATAATATTGTAAATGCTAATAACCAGTACATTGTTCCAACAAGGGGTGATCCTGTTAGAGGCTTGATTCAGGTTTCGGCATTTGCATTGACTACCTACTTTTTATACCTATTATTCATTCAAGAAAATCTATAAATACCCATGACTTTTTATTCTGTTCTTGGTTCCCAGTTTCTTTGTTCCACCAGATCATATTATTATTTTTTTTATATATATTTATTTTTCAGGATCATATTGTAAGTGCAGTGCTGCTTACAATGAAGAATACCTTTTTAACTCGTGATGAGTACAATCAGCTTCTTTATGGTTCTGGTGTATTTTCTGTGCCCGGTTCATTGTCTGCCAATCCATCTCGGAAAATTTCTGTAGTAGATTCTGAAGGTTCGATGCTGCATGTTCTGCCTGCAGTGTGGAAACCCAAGCCACTTTGGACAGGGAAGCAGGTCATTTTTTAATAAAACCCAGTTTGACCTGAATTAACTTATGCGCATATGAAACCTGATAGAAAAGAAAATGATAATTAAGCTTAGTTGTTGGAGAGAAATATCTGAGTCGAGTGGACTTGCGAAGATACATCCTGTATTTTTTTACTGTTGGAGAACTTGGAGTGTTGGTAATATAGGTAGATGGAATTACTGACTCATGATTGATTTTTGACTCTTCCCTTTCTTCTTCTATGTGCCTTTCTAGGTCATAACGGCGGTGTTAAATCATATAACTCAAGGTTACCCACCATGTACAGTTGAAAATGAGGGGAAGATCCCAAATATATATTTTACAAGTAAGAATGGTAAAAATCTTTCAAGCAAAGTTGAAGAAGATAATGCTGAAAATAAGTTGTTAATATGGAGGAATGAGCTCGTGCATGGTGTGATTGACAAGGCTCAGTTTGGAAAGTATGGTTTGGTTCATACGGTACAGGAGCTCTACGGTTCAAACAGTGCAGGCATTTTGCTTTCCGTACTCAGTCGGTTATTTACTATTTTTTTGCAGGTTAATTTTCTTTTCTTTTTTCCTCTTTCGTTTTTGGGTTTAGTTGTCAGTTACTTGAATTATGTTTATTTTGTGTGATATGCTTTGTAAATCACATCTTTTTGCTGTTTTTGATATATATGTTTCAGATTCATGGGTTCACATGTGGGGTGGATGACCTTATGATATTGCCACATTCTGACATCCAGAGGCAGGAAAGACTAGAGCATGAAGATGTTGGTGAAGAGGTTCATTGTGAATTTGTTAATTTCAAATATGGTGAAATAGGTATGCTGAAATGTCCTGCAGCCTGCTGAATACCTGTGCCAAGTTGTATGGGTCGTATATTAAAATAACTATGAGGTTATTATAATGGATGTGTAAAAGCTGGTAAAATCCAATTACAAATACATTTATTTTTTAAAAGGTTATGGCTGTGCATATGTTTTCTGGAAAAAAAAAAAAGAAGAAATCCATCTTACTTTTATATATCTTTCTTTCCTCAATACCTGTGAAATTCATGACCTCTTTATTTTTTATCTCTCAATATATAGTCTTATTTGTCATGCCAACTCCATATAAGCTTCTATCCTAATAGGCTGGGCCCCATTCCAGCTTATTCATCATTTTTAAAGAAAGTCAATATTAGCACCACCTTTTGCTGATTTGACTTTTGTTTTCTTCATTTAAACTCCTATTTGATGTTTTTTCCTAAGCCTTTGTATCTAAAACTTAGTACTTATAGAAATGACTATGTTTGGGCAGCGTTTCCCCTCCTTTTTTGTGGAATTTTAGATTCCCTATTCAGTTTTGTTGCCAAGTAAGAATAACACCTCTCTCGGTTTTGCATTTTGACAAACATTTTAGTTAAACATGCATGTAACCTTTGCGCCATCTGTGCGTTTAGTTTTTTTTTTTCATTTGCTCCTGCCTTTTCATTCTGTTTTATCATCTGGTTTTAATNGTGCCATCTGTGCGTTTAGTTTTTTTTTTTCATTTGCTCCTGCCTTTTCATTCTGTTTTATCATCTGGTCTTAATGGATTTTCTATATCTTGATTGTTTATCTGTTTTTGCAGGCCAAACAGAACTGCAGCTGGAGACTGAGAAAGCTATACGCAGTAATGGACAATCTGCCATAGCTTACTTGGATATGAAGATGAAGAATAAACTTAATGAAAAAACTTCCCAGATCAACAAAGAATTGTTGCTAAAAGGTTTATCAAAGCCTTTTCCAAAGAACTGCATTTCACTCATGACAATAAGTGGGGCAAAGGGTAGTACGGTGAGTTGTGGAGTTCTTTTGATAATCTAAATAACCAAATCGCAGTAGTTAATTGGTGATATGAAATTTTAATTTTGGATCTGGACCAGTAATGGCCTCGGATCTTTTACGAATTTTGGGTATGTCCAAAAGTCCCAATTCAACACGAGTTTAATCAGTGGGACTTCCGTAACTAGAAAAGGCTACTGATTGATGGTATAATTTTATCTATTAATCAATTGCATTATTTGCAATGGAGTCTCCCCCCCCCCTTTCTTTTCCCCTCTCTCTCCTTTTGTTGGTTTTGTTTGTATGTGTGTGTGTGTTTTTTTTTCCTTGTCGTTTGGGGGGGGGGGCATAATTGATGGCATATTTGTGCATTTACTATCAAAAGCCTCAACTCTCTGATGGTATGTAACATGCTTTGGTCTCCCATAGAGTGGCACCTTGGTGGAAATTTATGCCATCCAAGTGTCTCGGTGCATTTTTTAAGGCTTCCTCTTTTTTATTTCCAAAAAAACCCATGTTTGTTTTGGAGCATTATTTGTTTGATATCATTGTGGTGTGGAATATGCCGGGTAGTATGGGCGATCCTGAGTTGTCCGGGTGTATGCTGATTTATCATCAAAAAAGGCCCTAAACCAGGTTTCATTCTCTTTAAAAATATTATAGATGCCGGTTCAATATCTTTATTCACGCCGTGACTTCTTGTCCATTTGTGTTAATTTGTGATGAACCCCTCTGTATGCTATCTTTATGAATGATTATCTGAAGGTGCATTTTATAGTAAACTTCCAGAGTTGGTCATGTATATTGCCTTTATGAATAAGGCTCTAGTGTTTAATAATCATAGACCTGTACAACCAGGACTTCCCAGTTCATTAGCTGTAGTTACGACTTTGATGGGTCATCAATTGATTTTCAGAGGAGGGCGAGGGTAAATCTAAACTTGTAATTTACTTTTTAGTGGTCGTTAGAATTCTACTGTCTGATTTCTAAGTTGCATGGATCTTGGAGGCTTGTTTGTTTATACTTCGCCTGCACTTGGACTGTGGTTGGGACCCGTTTTTCCCTCTTATATAGTACATCTTAATCACTATTGTTCCTCCAGCAAAGAAATTAAATATGTGATCCTGCATCTTTTTTGCTTTGTACGCTAATTTTGTGCGTTAAACAGGTTAATTTTCAACAAATATCTTCTTCTCTGGGCCAACAAGAGTTAGAAGGCAAACGAGTGCCACGAATGGTTTCTGGAAAGACATTACCCTGCTTTCCTCCATGGGATTTTGCATCCCGTGCAGGGGGCTTTATTACTGATCGATTTCTTACTGGTCTTCGGCCTCAAGAGTATTATTTTCACTGCATGGCTGGTCGCGAAGGGTAAATTTGAATTAACCAACTTTGTCTCAGTTCCTTCTGTGGTAGATGGTCGCTTATTTTTGAGTTGCTTTGGTGGATGATTATTGGATGTCATTCATGTTTATTGCTTGAGTTTATGCTCGTATATTTGATCTGCGTATGAAATCAGTTCTTTTGGTTAGGAAAATTAAAAGCTTTATGCCACCTTTACTACAGCCATGTACTTGATTTTGTGCGTGCAAGTTGTCTGATCTTGTCACCTTGTGCTCCTTGTTTTGCTCCTAGTTTTGCTGTGAGGGATGGAATCCCCATCAGTAGAACTTTAGTTAGTTTTTGCTCCTGGATAAGAGTTTCTAGTCTTGAATTCAGTTTGAATTCTGAATTTCTAGTAAGTAGTTACTTTGAATAGGTCATTCTCTTGAGGATTTACTTTATGCAGCCATTGTCATTTAATAGATGGAAAATGTTTTTTGGACCTAATTTAAGGATATAATTGAATACAACCTATGAAGCACAGGATGCGGATACGGCGATACGATAAAATTCAAAAAAATAGGATATTGGTTTGATTTGGATACGTCTATACTATTATAGATTTTTTAATTTTTTTATCCTTATATTTAATAGAATAATTATAATTTATAAAGTAACAAGTGAATCACACATCTATAGAGATATATAATAGTATCTACTAACCATCCATTCAATCATTCATATATTATACACATGCATAATTTCCAACATGTTTGCATAGCTAAACAAAAGGCTCCATGCCAATGCATACACAAAAGAAACACCAACAAGCAACTATTCAAGATAATTTACAAATATAAGGGTACTTCAGTTTTTCATTTGTTCCTGATTTATATATGATGAACAAAAAAAAAAATCCTAATTTTAAAATGCAAAAAAAACCCTAATTTGTAAATGCTAATTGTAAGGTTGGTTTACAAACCTTAATTGCAAAAAAGGATCATGTAAGCCCTAAAGGGTCGAAAGGCAAGGAAATATGTAGAGAGAGAGGAGAGAGAATCGGTGCCCTGATTTGAACAATACTTGGGCAGTAGATTGGGCTGAATCAAAACCCTTGAAAGCTCCCAACAATCTCAAGTCTCCATCTTATCAGTTGATCTCACTGGAATCGACTTTCTCCGTCGAAGTCGAAGTAGATCTCCTTCGATTTCACAGTCTCAAACGAGAGAAATGAGAGAGCTTATTGATCTCCATGGACTTCACTATGATACCTGATGTTTGGTACAAAAGGAGGGAGGAGAGAGAAATATTGCGATCGAGAGGGAGAAGCGATGCCATTGGTAGATGGATTTCATGGGACGTGGGTTTTGGTGAGTTCTTTTTTTCTTTTCTTTTTTTGCAGATAAGGCCACTAAAATATTTGCTTTGGTGCCACTGATTTTAAAAAATGCATGTTAAGCTCCGCCGAGTGTATCGAGACATATCGGTGCCATAACGGTCCCAGGTGCATCGGATACCGATACTTCTACCTTTTTGAAGTATCCATGCTTCATAGAATACAACCATTAGATTGAGAGTCGGCTTTATCTAATTTGATATTCACAACTAATCCGGTGATCGTATTGAATTAGATCCTCAAATTAAGTTTCTATAACATTGTTCTTAATAGTTTGAAGATCCGTACATCCTCGGTATGTAATTTTGGTTAGGATTAGTGAATCAAATGTACTATATTACAATTGCATTTTTTCTTGTAGTTTGTGTAGCTCAGATGTTACATTTGTAACTTGGTAATTGTTAACTCTATTGTCAAAAGGCCAATAAATCTGAGATTTTAGATCAGTTGTATGGTTATTACGAGAGCTTTTGAATGTGACCTCTACAGCAACCCTTGAAGCTCTGGATGATTAGTAAATTCTCTTTTGTTTGAATATATATATTTTTGTAATTCTGTGAAATCTAGATCTTACACTGTTATCTAAAACAGAAGTGATTTTGTGTGAGATGATAGGGAGGAAAGGTGCAGGCGATAATGAAAGGATCTGTCTGTGTCTACTTTTACATGTGAACATGTGCGTTTGTTTCTTTTTTTGTGTTCACTCTTTTAAAAATTTGTAGTGTCACTATATTCATTTTGTCTTTGGAAGTGATGGCTATTAAGACAGTTTGAGACAGTTTTCTAAGCATATTGTAAGACACTGATTGTTTCATTCACTCTGGCAATTTTCCGGCATCTACTTATATGATGAGGTCGCGGGTGAATTTTAACTGATTGGGTTGGTGAGTCTTGCAATATGCCTAGAAGATTGATACTGGAAATAGAAATATAAAACTCTATCATCGAACCTATGGTTGAAGCAAGATACGCACGAGCTGATATTTGAATAATCTACTAGCCCAACTATTTTGCCACATTTATTGAAATATGGGGAGTTTGCAATTAGAGATTAAACATGAAGTGCACTTTGAGTGCCTCTAAATGTGGAGATCTATTTGTGGTGGATCAGTTGATCAAGTTCTCTGTGGGACTAAACGCAGACTTTGCACGTGCGCATAAAGTGTCAGGATTATTGGTCTCCCTCACTTTAGCATTTGTTTGTCGATATGCCTTCATTTGCCTCCCGAAGATATGAAGAAGCTGGGAAAATGGTAGAGGTTCATTGGGATTAATGCAATGTTGACTACAATCTTAGTTCTAGGCATCATTGGACAAAATGGCTGTCCTAGCGGCGCATTGGAAATTAAGTAGTTAATGGTTGAGTGTTGGGAGTTTCCCCATGTTTTAAGGGGGTTTCTCAGGATTATCTGCTGGACATTATACCTAGAGAGATCTCTCAACTTTTACAAAATTGACGATGCATTGTTGTTTTAGGGAAACCAATTTGTTGTGAGAAAGTTGATTTCTGTGGCTAATCCATCTGTGATGCTGAGAATGCTAACAAGGAGGATGCCAATTGGCAGGAGAAAATTGTTGACCATTGTAGGACCCAGTTTGAATATCGCTGAATGTTAGCTCTAATTTATGTTTATTTTTTGTTTCCTTAGGTATTGTGTTTCTGGTTCAGTCTCATTTGTTGGTACCTATTTATATCTTACCTGAGTTTAGGATTTTGGGCATTTTATGTTTTCATGTGTATGTCGATTTGGGGTCATCATAATTTTATGTAGGTTGATCATACCAGTCAAAATCCAAATTTCTTGGTTTGCAAATCCTATTCCAAGGAGAAGTAGGAGACAATATCGGTCTGTATGCGTCTATGTGAACTTCAGTTCACTTACAATATCTTTTTTTTATAGTTTTTTAGTTGTTAGGTATCTGCTGAAGCTGTTTTCTATCCTAAAGAGCATCCTATCTTATCTCTGCAATGATTGTGCAAGGGAATTGTTTGCTTGGTCTTCCTTTCCAGCCTTTCTATTATCTAGCAACTCCTTGAATGCACTCCACTGCAGTTGAAGGAATTATTGAAGCAACAACAATTCTGGACTGAACATACCCCAAGGCTCTCTCCTCTCCCGGTTTTTAGCCAACACCATTCTTGAAAATTTTTTTGATTCAATTCTAAACATTGGGAAATCCCAGGATTCTGATTGAGGTTCCTATATTCTTCTTTAATTCAATCCCTAAAGTTTCTTTAATTGCTGTAATCACCTTAAAATCTTGACCAGCTCTTCTTGTAAAGCCCTTCACTTACTCTCAAGCTTAATATCTTCGCATGTATGGTCTCATCTTTAGAATTTTTTGTAACTTCCTTCCTGTTTTTACGTTACGAATTACTTCTTAAAAACCTTGAAAACTACAAGTTATATATGTTATGATTGTATTGCACCGAGCTATGGTTATGCTAGAGAGCAATATTTTATGCTTCTTTGTGGTGTTCAATGTTCATACTTCTGATGGAGATACTTATTACATCTCTTCCCTTTACCAACTCAAGTTTATTACCTCTCAAACACATTGTATCTTTGATCTTGCTAATCTCTCTTGGCTCACATATTGAATAAGCTTTGGCCAACGTGTACTATTTAGTTATTCTAATTTTACCTGATAACTAGAGATAAGGCTGGAATTATTCATTCTTGTGATTCCACTTATTTGCCATGTTCTCCTTTTTTAGCTCCTGCCAAGTCTTTTAGATCTTTATCTTAGAAAGAATCCAGGCAATTCAAAAGGCAATAATGATTGGTTTCACTTTTCCTTTTTGCATAGTCTTACTGCATTCCAGGCCTATTAATTCAATACAAATCTTCACATTGAGAACTATTGACCAAACCAAACACTTTACCTTGGAGGAACCTCCATTTACATGTCATTGTCATTAATATAAGCTCGCAGAGTCCTGTTTTTAATGAAATAAGTAANAAATTGAGAACTATTGACCAAACCAAACACTTTACCTTGGAGGAACCTCCATTTCCATGTCATTGTCATTAATATAAGCTCGCAGAGTCCTGTTTTTAATGAAATAAGTAACATTCTCATTAGACCACACTGTGCCCTGTTTTTAGTGAATTATGGATGAGAATGAAATATAAATAGAACACTTCTCTGTCAATGGGTGTACAGGGATTGGGTAGCCCTGGACTTGAGGAAAGCTGTACTGTCCTTCCAATTCTTCTGAATATCATCACTATATCTTGCTCAGAAGAAGAACAAGAGTTTACTGCTCTTGATCTCCAAATGTCTAGGGTAGAGGCTATCCATGTAGTCTGTTATGGTGTCCAAACAATTTCCATTCAGTACTATATGAGAGTTCATATGAGACTTCTTTTCCTGTGTGATTTACCTATTTGGACACTTCATTCTAGCCAGAATCTTAGTATATGAAATAGGTGGTTACCTAATCATGGCCATTCGAGAAAAGTTGTGGAACTGTTTTGAAAGAGATATATAGGAACATTTGATCCTTAATTCAGTGATAAGACAATACTGATAACTTACTCAATTCTTAACATGATTTGTTATGCAGTTGTCTGTGAAATGCCATTTTTATTTTATTTCTTGGTGTGAAATGCATTTTAGCCAGTGAAATGTGCTCAAATCTATGAGGTAGTACTAACTTCAATTTGCAGCCAAATGCTTTCTTGTAATTGTTTTTTACAGACTGTCAAGAGACTAGTTGAACTCATTTTTGAGACTGGCTTCATGATGTCCATTTTACACGCCTATTAAAATACATGATTTTTTTTTCATCTTCTACCTCCAAAGACTTAATATTGTTTTTTGTTTTACGTCCACACATTGTGCTTTTCTGAGGGTTACCATCTTTGCATAGGTTGGTTGATACTGCAGTCAAAACATCCCGCAGTGGATATCTGCAAAGATGCCTGATAAAAAATCTTGAGTGCCTGAAAGTTTGTTACGATTATACTGTTCGTGATGCAGATGGTTCCATAATTCAATTTCATTATGGAGAAGATGGTGTTGATGTTCATCAGACAAGCTTTCTTAACAAATTTGAATCGCTGGCAGCAGTGAGATTTTTGATCGCCTCTTTTTAATTTGTTATCTAGATCAGATAACCACTTTCTTTTGACTAGCATAGATGAGAAGGTAACTTATCTCTCTCTCTCTTTCTTCATCTTCAGAATCGTGAAGTGATTGACCAAAAATTTTATCATCAGCTTGATTTCAACACTTATATTGAAGAGTTGCCTGATGAACTTCTAAATAAAGTGAAAAAATACACTAAAAAGTTGGAGGGAAAGCAAATTTATTTAGAACAAGAGCAGCAAGAGGACTTATTGAAGTTGATGAAACAAAAATACCTCTTGAGTCTTGCACAGTCAGGAGAACCAGTTGGTGTAATTGCTGCTCAATCTGTTGGTGAACCATCAACGCAAATGACGTAAGCTTTTGCATTTATCAATTTTTTTTCCTGAATGAATGCTGCTCAGTTTTACTTTATACAGTTGCTGATAAATGTAGTTTTGAAACTGTACTTTGGCCCGTAAGCATGCTTAAACATGTTATCTTGGTATCCCATTTGCTGGTGGTAGGCCATCAAGTATCTGCAATTAAGATTTATGCGTCAATATATGTCCGTCTCGAGAAAAATTGAATTGTATTTAAGGAAGTTCCCAACTTTGACACTGCCAATTTTCTAAAGCAAACTTCACTTTGCCCTCATTTGGGTAGCCCTGTTGCATTTCAACCACCCTTTGGTGAAAAAAGAACCACATAGCTCATGTGCTTTTGGACCGATGTGTAACTCTTACATTTTATGTTCAGTTTAACTGTGCGGCATGACACGCTGCATGGGAAAATCTTTTTCTTTCTTCATCTTCATTTTGTTTACTGAAACTTTTTAACACTTTTTTATAAGCTCATTCAGCAAATACAATTGTTTTCCTATGTTACAAAATGTAGGAGGGATTATATGATAAATTGATGCAGATAGATATGTTCTGATTCCAGTTGCTGTAGATTGGAAGTAGAACATAATATAACACAGGAATTAAGAAGCAGCAACAGCAGAAGAGGAGAAGAAATCAGAAGAATGTAAAATAAGACAACGAAATAAGAAAGAGAATGTAGGAATCAGAAGCAATATCGAAAGCTATTTGATATGGAGAGATGAGTTGACTAGTATGATATCTGGGGGAGAGAAAACTGCCGACTTCTCTTTACCACCTGCAAAAGTTAAAAGCCAATGCTATTTTTTATGGTATACTATGTAGCATTTTGAACCATCAGAGATGTCGAGATGCCCGTTGATGACTGTATTGATTAATTAGTTTTTTTCCCGGTATATGTACTCTATGAGCAGTACAACTCAATATTGTTTATGATGATTCATCAGTTTTTTTCAGTGCAACAAGATTTGAAATCACTTCATTTTTTATTGGTCAGATTTTATGGACATTCTTTTTAACAGCTCTTGTTGTAATGAGAGTAGTACATTGCTAAGTGCTCTCAACTCGGCGTCCCCGGCTGAATAAAAAGAGAACACCTAATCAATATATACAAAATGTTAGATATTGCTTTTCTAGCTTGCTTTACTTTGGATGTCCATGTGAAGATGGGAATCTGAAAAGCAAAAAAGCCTCTTAATATACCCGAAAATAGTGAAGATAAACCCAGGTTCAAAATTAGTCCTAGCAATGGTTGCCATTTCTCCATGCTCCCTTATATAGAGGACGGCACATATTTACCCCTCTTGTGGTACGTAATTTTTTAATATGCACATTTAAGTGTACCAAAAGAGAAGCCCATCCACTCCCTGAGCCCAAGCCCTGCTGCTAATCATAAAAATCCTCCTTGCGTTGAGACAAGGAACTAAAAGATGATTTGAGGGCCTGTTCTTGTGTTTGTCCAGCCCTTCAAATGACAGAAGTCCTTAAAATGCACTTAGAGGGAGGGAGGGAGAGGGACCCCCCCTCCCCTGAATAAAATAGGGGGGGGGGGGTTGGTTTGAATGAGGAAGGGATCACAGTCCGCAGCAATTGATGAACTGAGCCTGTGCCAACCTGCTGCTAATAATGGAAGCTCCCTGTACCTTGAGGACTAGTATTAAGAAATGAACAAGTGCATGCATTTGGCTGATGTATTCCGAGTTCTTAACTAAGGTTTCTCTTTCACTTTTGTGTGTGTAACGTGATGACTCTCTATCAAAGTATTTAAAGCCACATTATTTTCATTGTAACCGATCAGCTGGTTCTCATGACCAAGTATGCCATTATTTCATCTTTCAGGCTAAACACTTTCCATCTTGCTGGGCGCGGGGATGTGAATGTTACACTTGGCATTCCACGTTTGCAGGAAATTTTGATGACTGCTTCAAATGATAACAAGACTCCTATTATGACATGCCCCTTGCTAAAGGGGAGGACGAAGTAAGATGCCTACAATTCATTATGCAGTACAATCATTAAAGATAGTCACTTTTGCATTTCGTTGTCTAATATTCTGAATTCAGCATCTCATCTAAGTAAGGAATTTCCACCCCTTTACTTTTCCCTCTAGAAAAAAGAACATAAAAATCAAGAGAGGGAAGGAGAAACCCCTTAAAAATGGTACTGCTCCTTTATACCGCTCTCACAAATTGATGAGCTTGCCGCTTAGAAATATTAGCGTGTAATTATCTAACAGGGATACTTCTATAAAAAGTAGTATATGGGTATGGTTAGGATACGTCTATACATATTGTAGGATTTTATTACGATATAAAGGATGTGAGGGATTAAGAGATAAAATAATTCCCAAATGATTTATGTTATTCACAGGGACTGGTTAATGGTGTTTTGAATCCAATGTTCTATGTAATTCTAAAGCTAATAATGCATTACCCTTCGAGAGTACTCAACTTTTACTTTGCATTTAATTGCAATAGACATTATATGCTTTGATATAAATCATAAAAACTCATTATTCATGCCAAACAAATTGTAGAGAACTGACAAATCTTGTGATATACGTGATGCACATCCAAAATAACTTCTTGTAATAAGGAATCCCCATAGGTGTGATCATGGTTAGTACACAACCCACGTTACTAAGATGACGAATGTATCCACTGTGGAGANAAGGCACATATTTACCCCTCTTGTGGTACATAATTTTTTAATATGCACATATAAGTGTACCAAAAGAGAAGCCCATCCACTCCCTGAGCCCAAGCCCTGCTGCTAATCATAAAAATCCTCCTTGCGTTGAGACAAGGAACTAAAAGATGATTTGAGGGCCTGTTCTTGTGTTTGTCCAGCCCTTCAAATGACAGAAGTCCTTAAAATGCACTTAGAGGGAGGGAGGGAGAGGGACCCCCCCTCCCCTGAATAAAATAGGGGGGGGGGGGTTGGTTTGAATGAGGAAGGGATCACAGTCCGCAGCAATTGATGAACTGAGCCTGTGCCAACCTGCTGCTAATAATGGAAGCTCCCTGTACCTTGAGGACTAGTATTAAGAAATGAACAAGTGCATGCATTTGGCTGATGTATTCCGAGTTCTTAACTAAGGTTTCTCTTTCACTTTTGTGTGTGTAACGTGATGACTCTCTATCAAAGTATTTAAAGCCACATTATTTTCATTGTAACCGATCAGCTGGTTCTCATGACCAAGTATGCCATTATTTCATCTTTCAGGCTAAACACTTTCCATCTTGCTGGGCGCGGGGATGTGAATGTTACACTTGGCATTCCACGTTTGCAGGAAATTTTGATGACTGCTTCAAATGATAACAAGACTCCTATTATGACATGCCCCTTGCTAAAGGGGAGGACGAAGTAAGATGCCTACAATTCATTATGCAGTACAATCATTAAAGATAGTCACTTTTGCATTTCGTTGTCTAATATTCTGAATTCAGCATCTCATCTAAGTAAGGAATTTCCACCCCTTTACTTTTCCCTCTAGAAAAAAGAACATAAAAATCAAGAGAGGGAAGGAGAAACCCCTTAGAAATGGTACTGCTCCTTTATACCGCTCTCACAAATTGATGAGCTTGCCGCTTAGAAATATTAGCGTGTAATTATCTAACAGGGATACTTCTATAAAAAGTAGTATATGGGTTTGGTTAGGATACGTCTATACATATTGTAGGATTTTATTACGATATAAAGGATGTGAGGGATTAAGAGATAAAATAATTCCCAAATGATTTATGTTATTCACAGGGACTGGTTAATGGTGTTTTGAATCCAATGTTCTATGTAATTCTAAAGCTAATAATGCATTACCCTTCGAGAGTACTCAACTTTTACTTTGCATTTAATTGCAATAGACATTATATGCTTTGATATAAATCATAAAAACTCATTATTCATGCCAAACAAATTGTAGAGAACTGACAAATCTTGTGATATACGTGATGCACATCCAAAAGAACTTCTTGTAATAAGGAATCCCCATAGGTATGATCATGGTTAGTACACAACCCACGTTACTAAGATGACGAATTTATCCACTGTGGAGATACTCGTATCCTAGGTGTGTGTGACAAGTATCTAACAATGATAAATATTTTATTAATTATNATAACTTCTTGTAATAAGGAATCCCCATAGGTGTGATCATGGTTAGTACACAACCCACGTTACTAAGATGACGAATGTATCCACTGTGGAGATACTCGTATCCTAGGTGTGTGTGACAAGTATCTAACAATGATAAATATTTTATTAATTATTCGATATGCATGGAAAGTATTCAATATGTATTTGCGAGTATCTGATGAGTATTGGTATCATATCCGATACAATATGGACACATCACCTCGATTGAAGTATCATGCTTCATAGATCCTATCAATTTGCAGCAAAGCCTCTGTCATATCCAACTGTCTGTAAGAATGAAGATTAATCAAGGGTTGTTATAGTCTTAGAATCATGCAACGCGTTAAGTGTCATCAAGCAGAAAACTAAATTTAGTGTAAATTATATTTTTTTCCTTCTTGTGGGTTGAGCCAGTGACACTTCACTCCTTAAAGTTTAGAACTTTAAGTGTAGCAGCAGGCATGTCAAACAGTATAGCATAACAGAATAATACCACTCGATTCTTTTAGTTTCTTAGTTTCTTTCTAAATTTTTTTNATATTTTTTTCCTTCTTGTGGGTTGAGCCGGTGACACTTCACTCCTTAAAGTTTAGAACTTTAAGTGTAGCAGCAGGCATGTCAAACAGTATAGCACAACAGAATAATACCACTCGATTCTTTTAGTTTCTTAGTTTCTTTCTAAATTTTTTTTATACAAACTAAAAAAATCTACGTTGCATAGAAAGGGAAGAGAGAGATTTTTGATTTACCTTAGAGAGAGAGATTTTTGTTTTGTCTTAGAGAGAGAATAATGTAAAATAAAGATGTATGAGGGTATACAAGTCCTTTTGACATGTTATATTGTTTAGAATATTGCATTTTTTACCTTTGACTTTAATTTGATGTCCTAACGATGTCAGTTTGATTCAAAACCACATGGCATAATCTTTTCCCAGTTTGAGATAATCATGATTGCATGTGTTTATTTGGCACACACGCGTCTCTCTCTCTCTTTCTCACACACACACACACACAAATGCACACACAACTCAATAGTTATGCATAGTTGTTGTGCAGGGATGATGCCAGGGAACTTGTAGCGAAAGTGAAGAAGGTGACTGTTGCAGACATAATTGAGACTGTGGAAGTACGTGTTTTGCCATTTTCCATTGAGAATAACCAAACCTCCAGTATATATAAGCTTACTGTGAAGTTCAAAGAACATGACCTTGTGTCTATAAAGGACTGCAAGAGAACCCTTAAAGTTGTGTTCTTAAGAGAGTTGGAGGATGCAATTGAGAGTCATCTGATTTTACTCTCCAAAATCAGGGACATTAAAAATTTCATGCCTAGTTCACAATCAAAGGCTTCCGATGAAACAGGGGAGGATGCTTCTGGCAGCAGATCACAGGGTGGGAATGAAAATGATGATGTTGATGATGATGATGATGATGATGAAAGGGCTGAGGATCTTGGTTCAGATTCACTGAAAAGAAAACAGCAAGCCATGGATGAGATGGATTATGATGATGGTTCTGAAGATGAACTCAATGAAGAGGAGCCATTGGCTGAACCTCTGAAAGGAATTGATCATGGTGAGGATGAAGTTGAAATTAGGGAGGATGGTGAAATTGAGGACTTTGATGGTAAAGGTGAAGCTTACGAAATGCCATATGAGCACGGTGAAGCTATCTCAGAGCTTGAATCAGGTGACAGAAAAGACAAAAAGAAAGCCAAAAGAAAGCAAAAGGTCAGGGAAAAATTTGTTGGAAAAGAATCTGACAGGGCAATCTTTGTGTCGGCAAGAGGATTGCACTTTGAGGTCCATTTCAGGTTTAATAATGAACCTCATATTTTGCTGGCTCAGGTACTCATGAATTCCATAGTTTGCCTTTCATTTTACTATGGGCATCACCATCATTTCTTCAACAGATTAGAGTTTTTCATTTTCTTTTAACAGAGATATGTTGGGGTTGGTCTGGGGTGTGGGTTGCTCTGTGTTTTTGTACTCGTTTGTTTAGCTGGCTATATGCTTCCATTTTCTTATTAAACAGGTTGCCTGCCTGTCAAGTTTTATGAAGCTATGTTTCTTCCAGTTATATTGAACTATCTGTTGGCTATTGATGATNTATGGGTCCTTTCATACTCTTATATTCATCAGATCTTTAAAAATATCATGGATTGGGTGGTCTAATGGTGGTATCGGTTTTACTCCTTCCCTTGGACATTGGGATTGAAAGTTCAAATCCTAAAATATCCGTCGGTAGTGTTTGGATGGCTGGATAAAAATGGATATACCATTTGGGATTGGATTTTAAGGTGTGAGCCCCGGTTATCCTTCCTTTCCTTTGGTAATGAATTTTGAGGTTGAATGTTAGTTGGTTGTCAAAACACTACCGCCGTAGTTTTTCAGCCTCATTATTGCCTCTCTTCTGGACAATGATATGCCACACTACTATTGGGATTCACTTTTAGCCGACAGAATACACCCTACTTTTTACCATTTCACCCCTGAACTATATTACACTTTCAACCCCTAAACTATATTCCTCTCTCACATTTTTCCATCACATGCCAAATTTTCACTTTATACTTTTTTTTTTTATTCGACGGTCAGAATATTCAGATCAATTTAAACAATTAAATTTTATTTTTAAATACAACTTCAGATTCTCTACAAATAAACAAATAACAATATACGCTTGAGTTGTAACGATATGTGTATTATTTTTCGGTTGGTATTTTTTTTTGTCATGATGCCTTAGATGATTTTTGTGATTAAAAATGTATTGTATAAATTAAATTAAATAACTTAACAAAATATTTATTGCAATATTTCAAAAAATACGTAATTTATTAATTCATATTTTTTTTCACAAAAAAGACAATACTAATGAATTGAGCTTTTTTTTCATTCCCTTTCAAACATAGTATAGGATTAGATCACATTATTTTACACAAGGATAAAATAGTTATTTTAATATGTTTTAGCTTCGCATGTTGATGGAGCCCACAAATCAAATAAAACCTATTCAAAGATGGAATAAGATTTGAATTTCATCGTTATAATTCTCCAATTTAGACTAATTTGCATTGGTTTAGATTGAATTTGGACCCAAACACTAATAAGGTTTAGGGTTCAATAATTAATCGCTATGCTAGTTTAATTAGATTTGATTCTAAGAGGTGTTCGGGCGACTTTTATGCCCACCAGTGTGTGCCCACCGTTGAGAGTGCGCTCTTCCTTAGTTCACCTCTTTTCTAATTATAAAAAAAACAGAGATCTTTTATAAAAAAAAAATTTCTTATCCCAAGAGTTCTTTTATTTCATTTTTCCCTCTAAAACTTTTGAAATTGACAACCACAATGAGGGATTTGGGCAAGGAAAACGAAAACGATGATGTTCCAGATGAAGACGAAGGTCCCAGTAGTTTGATCAGCAGCTGCAACACACAGCGAGAGATTTGGGCAAGGAAGACGAAGACTTTCTAGCTTGAGATTTAACCACCTAGATGAAGACTAGTTTCTATACACACGCAGAGAAGATGAGGNACTTTCTGTTCTTCAGCTGGGGACTTTTACCTACAAGTATGGTTCAAATTCACGGTATGAGCCATCAAGACACTTTGACACATCGGTTACAGAACAGTATCATCATTACACGGCATATATGCTACATGGGCCAAGTGGTTTAACATTGCAAGAGAATGAGGCCATACCATGTCATTGGGGAAATTTGAGGTGACGAGAACTGGGACGTGTTTCAGACGACTCGGCCGGAGATGGGAACGGACTATCAAATGCTGGAACCCTACGGTTAGGTTAGGTTTATTGGCATTGTTGTCGTTTATTAACGTCTGTTCTTTAACTTGGGGCTTGCAGAGAAAGGTCTTAATCAAAACATAAAAGGTCGATTGAAAGTCAAGAGGTCGTGTTTTTATTGCATTGGAATAATTTTTTAATTGATTTGATAAACATTTGGCCAAGTGAATCTTCAGTTTATAAAAATATAAGGGTAAATTTCATAATTAGGCTCCGAACTTTGACTTAGGTTTTAATTTGGTTTTTGAACTTTTAATTGTCTTAATTTAGTTTTACAATTATTATTTTTTGTCTCAATTAGGTCCTTTTGACAATTTTCACTGTTAAAAATGGTGGAAATTGATTACATCGAACTAATCTTCGTTTGGTGTAATAATAAAAATAGACGCAAGGATTTAATTGAAACAAAATTTATAGTTGATGTACTAAATTGAGATAATTGAAAGTTCAGAGATCAAATTGAGATTGTTAGTAAAGTTAAGGGACCAATTATGATTATTACCTAAAATATAATTAGTAAATAAGACACAATTAATAAACCAAATAGATTAACCTTAACTTCGCATTTAGATATCACATTTGTAAATGTGACATATATTTTGAACGATTATTGTCATTCATCTAATTATGGATCTCAATATTGATTAAAATTTATTACCTATTCAGTGATTTTGATTGATCTAATCAACAAATTAAATTAATATTTTAATTTCAAATAGTACTTTTTTTTTATATATATTTTTCATGTGCAATTTTATTTTTTATGCACCGATTATGGTGTTTCATCCATTATTTACCTCTTTATCAAGGCAACATATTATATCTTTTTTTTTTCCCATTCTGTCACTTGAAAAGTTAGATAAATAATTATAAAAAGTATTTTTGCCAACAAAAATAATATTTTAAAATAAATTTGAAAAAATAGTGATTAATTATACGGGGGTTGAAGGTTGGTTACAAATGTCATATAATAGGAGTTGATCGGAGAAAACCTTAGGTTTTGAATTTAAAAAAAATCAAAATTCTAAAAATTTAGAAATAGAGAAGAAAGGCTTCTCAAGTTTTTTCTCCTCTAAATTTTGTTATAGATAGATTACTAGTGGCCCATCCCATGCAATGCATGGAATTATAATTTGTGTTTTTTTTATTATTTAATTTATATTTTTTTCTTTCATTTTATTATTTGAGAAAGTAAAATAAAACAATTATAAAAAAAAATTATATGAAAAAAATAATTTTTTTGAATAAATTTTTAAAAATAGGGGTTGATTATTATGGGAGTTGAGAGGTAATTACAAATGACACATGATAGCATTTTATTAGAGAGAATTTTAGGTTTTAAATAAAAATATTCTAAATTCTAAAAAATTCCGAAATGTGGACAAAAGGCATATCAAGCCTTCTCCTTCAAAAAAATAATAATATCGGAATTGGAGTACTAATATTGAAATATTTACTGGACTTTGTGCAAATACACAATAATTAACTCTAATTACTTGTTTATAGTTCCATTTATGAATTTTACTAGCCTTCGACCCGTGTGATGCACGTTCCGTCGTCTTGTCCTCCCACCGATCCCTATTCTCTCTTGACCATTATTTTTTAAGTTGGAAAAAAGATTGCAAGAATCATTAGACTACAAAATTTAAATTTTTAAAAGTAATTGAATAAGTGGTTGTTAAAGGGAGTTTATGGGTAATAATTTAGGATAGATATTTAAGTCATTTGGTAGTATGTGATTGGACGGTGGAAAATTTAATAATTTAAAATTTTTAAAAATTAAAGAAATGAGAGAAAAAAATTTCTCAAACCATCACTTCAAAAATAATTATTTTTTATATATGTATAGATAAATTATTCCTCAACTACCCATAACCCTCTATAATTTTTTTTATCTTTCTGGGTCCTTTCATACTCTTAAAATATCATGGATTGAGTGGTCTAATGGTGGTATCGGTTTTACTCCTTCCCTTAGACATTGGGATTGAAAGTTCGAATCCTAAAATATCCGTCGGTAGTGTTTGGATGGCTGGATAAAAATGGATATACCATTTGGGATTGGATTTTAAGGTGTGAGCCCCGGTTATCCTTCCTTTCCTTTGGTAATGAATTTTGAGGTTGAATGTTAGTTGGTTGTCAAAACACTACCGCCGTAGTTTTTCAGCCTCATTATTGCCTCTCATCTGGACAATGATATCCCACACTACTTTTGGGATTCACTTTTAGCCGACAGAATACACCCTACTTTTTACCATTTCACCCCAGAACTATATTACACTTTCAACCCCTAAACTATATTCCTCTCTCACATTTTTCCATCACATGCCACATTTTCACTTTATACTTTTTTTTTATTCGACGGTCAGAATATTCAGATCAATTTAAACAATTAAATTTTATTTTTAAATACAACTTCAGATTTTCTACAAATAAACAAATAACAATATACGCTTGAGTTGTAACGATATGTGTATTATTTTTCGGTTGGTATTTTTTTTTGTCATGATGCCTTAGATGATTTTTGTGATTAAAAATGTATTGTATAAATTAAATTAAATAACTTAACAAAATATTTATTGCAATATTTCAAAAAATACGTAATTTATTAATTCATATTTTTTTTCACAAAAAAGACAATACTAATGAATTGAGCTTTTTTTTCATTCCCTTTCAAACATAGTATAGGATTAGATCACATTGTTTTACACAAGGATAAAATAGTTATTTTAATATGTTTTAGCTTCGCATGTTGATGGAGCCCACAAATCAAATAAAACCTATCCAAAGATGAAATAAAATTTGAATTTCATCGTTATAATTCTCCAATTTAGACTAATTTGCATTGGTTTAGATTGAATTTGGACCCAAACACTATTAAGGTTTAGGGTTCAATAATTAATCGCTATGCTAGTTTAATTAAATTTGATTCTAAGAGGTGTTCGGGCGACTTTTATGCCCACCAGTGTGTGCCCACCGTTGAGAGTGCGCTCTTCCTTAGTTCACCCCTTTTCTAATTATAAAAAAAAACAGAGATCTTTTATAAAAACAAAAATTTCTTATCCCAAGAGTTCTTTTATTTCATTTTTCCCTCTAAAACTTTTGAAATTGACAACCACAATGAGGGATTTGTGCAAGGAAGACGAAAACGATGATGTTCCAGATGAAGACGAAGGTCCCAGTAGTTTGATCAGCAGCTGCAACACACAGCGAGAGATTTCGGCAAGGAAGACGAAGACTTTCTAGCTGGAGATTTAACCACCTAGATGAAGACTAGTTTCTATACACACGCAGAGAAGATGAGGATGTTGC